GCGACCAAAGCGCAGCCGTCACGAAGTCTGAACGCTGCCTAAATCAGCTACTGCCAAGTCTGTGAGTCCTCCTTCGGGCTGCGTTCATACTTTGCGTCGGCTTGAGCGTTTCGAGTGACTAGAGAAGTATAGGTATCGATCTAGCGTTTTGAGTGTACGGCGCGTTTTGGGTTTTGAGCTTTTGGCGGCGGTTGAAAACGCTGAAGTACGCTTGATTTATACCCAACTTCCTCAGTCGCTCAAGCTCTGGTGGACGCTTACACGAAGTATGCGTCCACCAGGGCCGCAACCTTACGTTTATCCTATTCGTTCCCTGTGGCGGTACGTTCAGAAATCGATACGAATTTTATAGAATATTTGGCATTATTAAACAGTTCCTACTCCAAAAACACAAGAATTCTTTTTTGCTGTAGCTCTGCCTATAGATGTTATATGATGTCCTGATCATGAATATGACATTCATTTTTGGCGCTGGCGCCATTTGGCGCCAATAGGCGCCAACATGACGCCACCACTTTTCTCACCAAATTTGATGAAAACTTCTATACGGATATTAACTGACATCCTTATCACGAACATGGTATTTACTTTTGACGCTGGCGCCATTTGGGGCTACTAGGCGCTAACTTGGGCCACAGCGTTTTCCCTAAAATCGGTAAAAACTTGCGTAATAGGGTTGTTTGATGTCCTGATCACGAACATGACATTTATTTCTCGACACAGCGCCATTTAGCCTTCTGCTAAGGCTGAACCTGGGAGAAGGAGTGATTCCCTTCAGGCCAGGCTCGGCCTCAGCGGAGCGCAGATGATCATAGTGTCCTACATTAGCGCCAGGGCCAGGAATAAATGTCATATTCGTAATCAGGATGTCAAATAACCCCCGTATATAAGTTTTCATCGACTTTGGTGATTTAGGTGTTTTGGCGCCGGCGCCTGTGGCGCGGGCGCCAGGCGGTTTCGGCCCAAGCGGATGTGATATTCGTGTTCAGGAGGTCGAACTACCCCAGTAAGCAATTTTCAGCCAAATCTGCCTCCTAGAAAAAAGTCGGAAAAAAGCCGGCCTGATTGCGGAAGAATGGGGTTGGAGTATTTCAACAGTGCCAAATATTTTGCTTAATTTATCTGAAAAAAAGTTCATCGCGTATGACGTGCTGTTGGGGAGTATGACGTGAAATCTTCGTTTCCATGCATACAAAATTATTTGATTGTAACGATTTTTTCAACCATAGTGAATAAATAAATGTCGATGGAATTCTAGCGAACTAATCAGAATGCTGCAGCTTCTCACCCGTTCCAGATCATTCTTTCTTTCTTTTTTTTCTTCTCGTTCTGTGCTTGTAAAACCGTCCTTGTAGATGTGTAAAGAACTGAATGTTCTTGTAAAATTTCGTTTTGTTGGTGCTAAGTGAACCGATTGTTTCTTGGATGTTATGATGAGTTTGCTACGTGTTTTGCAAACGCACATTGATTTTTCTGGAATGCAGGAGCTGCGAGCGATATACGGCTCTTGAACAATAAAAAAGTCCCAAACGACCAGAGATGATTGCTGAAGGCTTGGTTTCAGAGACGGGGTGGGGGGCAGGGAATTGAAAACAACACGAGTCACTGGGTCTATGATCTCAATGGGCCAGGCTGGCACTACCTTCCCTTTACAGCCTCACTTTTGGAGATTTAGCCTAATTTTCACTAGAAGTGCCTGGTGTGTAAGTTTGGCCGAAGTTTTAGTGCTAACGCAGTTAGGAGGGGGAAGGGGGGGGGAGAGAATGTTCATTCGCCAACGCCTATGTATCAAGTTCTCTGATGGAGGATTGAGCTTAGTGAAGACTATGTCCTCTCGTCTACTCCGATCATCTCCACTCTAAGCCTAAGCCTGAATTATGGGAAGGGATACAAGGCTTTGCCGAGGGTCCCCGCCAGCGAAGTTTGGGAGATTCAGGCCAGATTTTGAGCGGTTTTTTGTGGGTAGATTTGACCGAAGTTTAGGTGTTGGAAAGGGGAGGGAGGGACCATCTGCCAGCGCCTACATACCCCTTTCTCTAAACAGAGCATAAGCTTAGTAAAGAGTGTGTCTTCTCAGATACCTGGCCATCTGTGCTCCGAGCCAAACATTAAAGGGTTACAGAGGAGCTGCCGAGTGGTCCACTGCCAGTACGTTAGTGGCCGAAATTCAATCCCCACCCTCAGTTTGACCAACTGTACACGAAACACATCATCTACATGAAGTGAAATCACCTGACGCCTCGTCAGAGGCTCCAGTGCTGTAGGCTACCTTTAGTCAGACACCTGTACATCGCGCGCCAGGTCTTTTTACGTTGAACGAATGTGACTTCGGTGCTTTGGAAGTGAAACACAGGGGCAAGTTTTCGGCGAATTCGGTGCCTCGAGGTGTTCTGGCGCAGACGTAGGTGGCGCAAGAGCCGTTCTTCAAGCGGATGTAATATTCGTGTCAGGGGTCCGCGGGTCCAGGGGTTGAAAAGTAGTGATCAGGGTGCTATCGCTGTGTGAAAGACATAGGGGGTCGTACTTTTCGGCTGGGGAGGGGGGTCGTATTTGGTCGTTGTTGGGAGAGGGGGGTCGTATGTGGCTTTGAGAGAAATTTGCCGCGTTGGGAAAAATTTTTCCCGGTTGTTGACTTTTCGCGTGATTTTTCCTGTTTCCCTGTTTCATGTGTACTATTAACCCTTCCCCCTCGCTCGACGGAAAATTTTTGTGTAAAAAACTGGACATGTAGTTAGGTGTTCGGGAGGGAGGGGGGGGGTCGTACCTACACCACCATGCTGTACCCTGGGTGATATTCCGATTCTGACATCATATTCCCCGCACGGTCAGCCACACGCCTAACCGCAACGGGCTACATGTGTGTGCCCTCTAACTCCTTGTTGTTCTCTACCTCTGAGTTTGTAATTCGCTGCGGGACCTTGATATCTGCGCAAAGGTTGCACTTTGAAGACAGCGCGAGCGTGGAGCCGGCACCTTGTATCACTTTTTTTGAGTGAGTAAGCGGAGGGTTTTTGAAGATCCCTGGCGCTAGTCCAATATAGGTCTACAATCTAACACTTCACATGTTACCACATGCAGTGACGTTCTGTGACGTCTCATAACACGTCATTAACAAGGAGATCGCACATAGATTGTTGAAGCCACTTGTTCGATTTTTTGTGGTGGTGTTTTCACTGAGGGAGGGTTGCGGAGAGGCTGTAGGGTTTTTGCCAAAGCCTAGATACGAAGGAGATCCTGTGTTGGCGATCCACTTCCTTCATGCTATGCAAAAAGTTTTCGCTTTTCGCGACCTATGGCTTAGGCTGCATTTATACTTTGCGTCAGCGTTTCGAGCGTACGCTAGTGTCACGACTAAGAAAGTATAGAAATCGATCTAGCGTATGCCCGCGTACAGCAGCGTTTTCGCGAGTTTCGCTCAAGCTCAAATCGCCCGTCAAAACACTGGCATACGCTGGAGTTCGCTAAATCGATATCTATACTTTCCTAGTCGCTGGCGCAGGCGTACGTTCGAAGCGCTGCCGTACGCTGACGCAATGTATGAACGCAGCCTTACCAGCCCCGTAGCTTCCTTCTCCTCTCACGTCAATCACGGATTATGCTGACACGCTACATTGACATTACATATTGAATTACGGACCTATATTGAAGTCAGGCCAAATCATACTGTACCCTTTAGTTTGTAATCCTTTCTTAGTCCTTGAAAACCTGGCCAGGTAAGCATAATCGATAGGGAGATGTCGGAAGGTCTACGTTGCCAACAGCTTAATGAAAATCATCTCGACGAATCCCCATTCTGCTAATCCTCTTTATATCCGCTAGCGACGCTCCGCCACCTAGTAGATTGCTCCCGCTACATATTAGTCTCATCACTCGCAGCTCCTGTCCGTTTAGTTGCCATCAATTCACTAACACTCAGCTACGATGAAAGGTGAAGCTTTCATTGATTTTACTTGTTCACATTTCCGTTTAATTTCTATTTGCAGAACTAACAGCAGCCATGTCAATGACCAGTTTGAGTTCCAAGTCACGGCGTCCCGAAGATATTATCATTGAGGGGTGGCTGCACAAGAAAGGAGAGCATATAAGAAATTGGAGGCCAAGGTATTTTGCAATTGTTTGTTAGTCTTTTCTTAGTTCTTGGTTTATTCGAAGTCATGATTTTTCATGGTGGTACGAAGCCAAAATTGCTGGTTCGCTGCTGATGATGAGGCGGGTCAGTGCGGCTGCGTTTGCCTCGGTGCCAAAACCCGTTTTCCACCAGTTTTGAAGTAGGTGAAACAGTTGGTGGAAAACGAGTGTTACGAGTGCATGATATGTCCGTGCCCCCTGCTCGCGTCAACCTTATCAACCAAAAGTTCTCTCGCTGCGAGGGTCTAGAGTAGTTTCTCATTGCATCTAAAGGACGAGCACTCGGAGGGAGAAGGAAAGGGTGAGGTAAGCGAGAAGGAGGAGAGGAAAAGAGGGAGGGAGAAGGAAAAAGGAGGAGGAGGGAGCGTCGCGGTTTACAAGTGTCCTGAGACGCTGGTATAATACGGATTTGGCGCCGCGCCAAATGCAGCCCCCCTGGCAGAACATCATCCGCAGCGAACCAGACTCTCAAGCTCAGTGAAATGGCTGTGCGGCACGTCGTACCTCGGGCATCCTCAATGAGGGAGGGTCGGATTCAGTCACTGGAGGTAGGGAGGTGTGATTGCCTCTGAGGGAGATGTTTTTTTGTTGACTTCTCTAGTTTTTTTCCCGTCCATTTTACGAAGAGAAAATTTAGAGGGAGTTAGTGCTTTGCGAAATTTCTCCCTAACAGAAGTACGTACCTTGGTGCCAGCCAGTACAACCCCCGCTCTTCGCCTACCGCCGTCGAGGGGAGAGTTTCCCGAAATTGCGCCGCAAAGCGGATGTGGATCCATTCCTTCAGAACCTATCTACCTCATCGAGCGGGCGGAGTCTCACAAAATCCCACCGTCGAGGGTAGACACCTCCGATCAACCATCAGAAATAGCAGTT